GAGTACCTGTGGCAGTGAAGTTAGCAGTCCCTAACTGGTGAATGCTGGACTGGTGGGTTACAGACACCTTACACGCTGTTAGGACAGTCGTGGAAGATTATCCATTAGTTATTGACTCCACCCTCTGGGCTAAAGTGCTTGTTCTTCTGTAATCAACTGGGACCTAAACTAATTTAGACTAACCATTTTTCTTTGCCTAAGGATCTGCAAGTGGATCAGACAACCCTCATAAGTCTCCTCCAAGCCCTTAAATAAATACTGGGCAGCTAATACTGAGACACTTTCCAGCTGCACCAGAAAGACAGTAGGAACTCAGAAATAGATACAGATATTATATGCAGGAGGAGAGGAGGGAATAAAAGACTGGACAGGACTGTGCTGTCTTTGAATTTTGTTCTGCAAACATTATGAAACAGCGCTGTGTAACTCTGAACAAATAAAAATGCATCCAAGTATGTATACCTTGACATTTAAAAATACCTGTTAGCCTGTTGTGACTACAAAACATTAGCTACAGAATATATTTACAGATAATTTCTGATGTTTGTTCCTGGCAAGAGATGTTAAACCCAATTCTTCACTGAAGACATAAACCTGACCTAATTTAGATGAGGTCAGTGGGAATTTAAAACAGAGATCACATGAGCAACTCCCAGGGACTTAAGCAGAAACAGTTAGCAGCTCATTGCTACAGAATCCAGCTACTGCAAAATATGAACTTTTGCAAATTGTGCACATTAGTATCATTATCCTTTTTTTCTTTTTTTAAACATGGATATGTCACAGATTCTAAGGAAGGTGTGAATTACTGAACTGATCCATCCTTTGAAGCAGTGCGAAAAGATCACACCTGACAGGTGTGAGCTGCTCCAACAAACATACCACTTTCTCTTTTATGGCAAGATCACGGTTCGTTATGGTTTACAGATAAAACCTTGTTTGCAAGGTAGCTTTAAGTTTCCTAAATTCCAAGCTGCTTTATTTCAGAGACAACCAGCTCTTGCCTTTCTCTCAATTCCCTTGTGAAAGTGTATTTTTTTTTAGTGGCAAAAAAATTTGTTTCTGTCTCACACTTACTGAAGGGGCTTTTCTGTAGTACACGCTTACAACAGGTAGGGTTTCTTTGACAGCAAATTTTGACAGTGCATACTTATTGCTGCTTAAAAAAAATTAAAAGACCAATTTTGAGCTTCTCTCTCCTGTTGATCCCCTGATGCGAAGAACTGAAGAATCTCAATTTTGCACTGCACTAGTGCAGGGATGGCCACCATATGGTTCTCAATTCAGCCCCATGCACACCTCTCAACCCAGGCCATGTTACGTGACTGGCAATGAAGCTAATGCTGGTGCAGGAGGTGCTGGGCAATCCACAGCCCTGGCTACATGAGACAGTGCACCAGGAGCCACTTCCAGATCCAACTAAGATCTGTGCTGGAGCCATGGGATCATAGAAATCAAATGTCATTTACTGCATGTGAACTGCTCCTGGGTTTCATCTAATTCTTGGCAATCTGAGGGACACAATAGAGGTCTCAAAGCTTGGCTGTCTGAAGATTTTTGTATGTGACCCCTAGGAGCTGCAAAACTGGATACAGCTGGATGTACAGAGGGTGTCAAGGATAATGCCACAAAGTTGACCATGATATGTACAGGCAGGGAAGTTCAGTATGTTGATTCCTTCTTCCCAAGAGGATGGTAGGGATTATACACTTCCACGTGAAATATAATTTTAAACGGTAAATAAACTCATAGTTATGTTTGGAATATGGCATGCAACACTTCTTTAATCAATGCTAGAAACGGTTAAAATCCTGTTGTGTTCAACTGTTGAAATGCATCACCAGCTACCATATTTAAATACCTTTGCTGAAAGCAACTATCTCAAAAAAGGCAATTGTATTCCTGGCACAACTGCCCAAGCAAAAAGCAGTTTATCGAAAAAGGGGGAAAACTATTAATACTGAGCTATTTCCTAGCCTATCTGGAAGTTTGTGTCTCAGGAAGAAAAAAAATATTTGCATCAATTTAAAAATACAGCACTGCAAAGAAAGACAATTTGTTGTACTTCACAGAATCACAGAATGGCTGAGGTTGGAAGGGACCTCTGGAGACAGTGTAGTCCAACCCCACTGCGCAAGCAGGGTCAAGGTCAAGTACAGCAGGTTGCTCAGGGCCATCTCCAAGGAAGGAGACTCCACAACCTCTCTGGGCAGCGGAAGTTCAGTATGTTGATTCCTTCTTCCCAAGAGGATGGTAGGGATTATACACTTCCACGTGAAATATAATTTTAAACGGTAAATAAACTCATAGTTATGTTTGGAATATGGCATGCAACACTTCTTTAATCAATGCTAGAAACGGTTAAAATCCTGTTGTGTTCAACTGTTGAAATGCATCACCAGCTACCATATTTAAATACCTTTGCTGAAAGCAACTATCTCAAAAAAGGCAATTGTATTCCTGGCACAACTGCCCAAGCAAAAAGCAGTTTATCGAAAAAGGGGGAAAACTATTAATACTGAGCTATTTCCTAGCCTATCTGGAAGTTTGTGTCTCAGGAAGAAAAAAAATATTTGCATCAATTTAAAAATACAGCACTGCAAAGAAAGACAATTTGTTGTACTTCACAGAATCACAGAATGGCTGAGGTTGGAAGGGACCTCTGGAGACAGTGTAGTCCAACCCCACTGCGCAAGCAGGGTCAAGGTCAAGTACAGCAGGTTGCTCAGGGCCATCTCCAAGGAAGGAGACTCCACAACCTCTCTGGGCAGCCTGTGCCAGTGTTTGATCACCCTCACAGTGAATTTTTTTTTAATGTTTAAATGGAATTTCCTGTATTTCAATTTGTGCCCATTGCCTGTTATCCCTTCATTGGGCACCACTGAGAAGAGCCTGGCTCCTTTTTCTTCACTGCTTCCCATCAGATATTTATACACACTGTTAAGATAGTTCATGTCTTTTTACATGTTGGATATTACCCATGAGCTCATCTCTGTTACTGAGTGCTAATTTTAGCAACTGTTCACATCACCAAAATTATTATTGCTAGAAAGTTATTTAATGGCAGTGGTTACTAAAAACTGTGGCAGTAGAGTCATGTTTTGTAGGTCATTTCTGGTTTTTTTTTCCCTTAAAATTCTCAAGTCATATGAATTTTTTTTTTTTTTATTTTTAATGCCAAAGGCATGAGAGGAAATAAAATTATTATTAGCTATTAGCAGTTGAGAATGAAAGCCTGAAGTTTGTCTCTTACATTTACTGCAAAACATGTTCATCTCTCAAATTTCATTTGCTTCAGAGATACTGAAAATGAGGGATTTCAGAAATGCATTAATTATTATGAAATCTTATGCCATGAAAAAAATCTATTCAGCTAAAAATTTACTTTAAGGATAAATTACCCTTCTACTAGGTGAAACCAACAAACTTTTACAATGGCAGAAAATCCAGAAAAATGGTGGGATAAGTGAAGACTTCAGTGGCCAAAGCAATCTCCAAACCAGCTCTTCTGGGGACTCCCAAGCTATGCAAGTGACACTATCAGTTGGGCAGGTGTGATGAGGAAGATGCAGGAAAGGTATCTGGGAGATACCCAAGAGGGAGTTTCCTAAGGATACTCAGGTAATCAAGGAAAACTCAGCCCTTTCCTCTAATGCAAATTTGCTTCATGTCACTGCAAGTTGAAATGCAATTTTAACCTCCCTGTGCCATCTGAGACAAATAAAGCTCATCAACTGAATTTGGATTTGACAACACACTAGACTTCATCTTGGGAGAAGCAAGAACCTGAGTCCCATACAGAAATCATTCGGAAGTACGAGCGGTCAGTACCTATCGGCATATCTGCCCTACTGGTATAATACGTGGCTGTGATGTATAGGACACTGAAATTATTAAGAATCCCATTTTGAAGCCTTATGAAGCAGAAATTTGAAATAAAGATGCATTAATAATAATGCATTTCTGTCATCTCTAATCAGCATAGGCTGCAGAGACTTACATTATGAACAAATTAATTTTGTATGTTTCACTGCATTTGGTGAATTTATGTAACTTAAACCTTACTAAACTAAAAATACTACTTTTACCACATTGCTTCATTGATAAGCCCGCCAATACTGCTCACTATCATTAAGTGGAAGTGCCCTACGTAGTTTGTAAATACATCCACCTGTGAAGAACAAATTAGGGTAGCCAGCTTTCAAGGTAAGAGCTGCTTTCTCTTTGTCCTCACAGAATGTTTGTCCTTAGTAAAAACTAAAAGAATCAAACCTGGCCTCAGAGGTAGAACTACAAACTTCTAATCAGTGTTACTGAATAAAGATATTATCTTATTAATGAAGATGTTTCTGGAGCAGCTTTTGGAAGAAAATAACGTGGGCACCCACAGACATTAGAAATAAGCAGCCGCTACCTGCAAAAGCTGAAACTGTGCAGCTGTTCATAGACAAGAAACAGGAGCAGTTATCAGTAACATGAATGACACCTCAAGGTCACTTCAGAGTACTTAAATGCCAAATATCTTCAAAGTATTCCTACACACAACCAGAACTTTGTGTGTAGTTTTAACCCTGCTTAGTTTCGTAGCAGCTGAGATACTGAATACCAGAGTAGATAACCAGATATCTCCAGGAAAAGGGAGCATGGAGCCAGCTCCATTGGCACTAGATGCCATCTTGAAATGTATTTTCCAGTCAGTCAAGCATTCCATTAGCAAATTCACACCTAAAGTCTTTGGCAAGACAGGAACATTGTACTTTCTTGCTCTGGGTAATTACACAGACTAAGTGAATTTGACAGCCATTTTGGTACCTGGTAATATGCTTCAATGCACGCTAACTGTTTTGTGTTTAAAACTGAGCAAGGCCAGCACATATGATTAAGAGTGGATATCTGCCTATGCTGGGCACTATTTCATGAAAGTCAGGTTTCTGTCACAGATCTAAGGCAAATATTACAATTTAAAGGAAAGAAATGAGGACATCAATACATTGTGCGTTATTGGAGATGTACAGCCTTTATAACACGGTGGCTTTCACTATGATCTCTGGGTTTTCTATGTCCTTTTTGCTTTGGACCATTCTCAGTTCCAGCTGGGCTGAGTTTGGTTTGTTTCCTTCTCCAGCTTGTGCTAAAAAGATGACATCAGAATGTCATTAAAAACAGCAGTATAAAAGAAACAAGTTACATTGTTCTGTTACCCCACTATTTTTTCTACCCTCCTCCCCTCTCCAATCTCCCTTACTAACCCCTGCTAAAGGCTTCCATATGGTGGAAGATCCAGGTCAGCACTGTGATTTCTTATCACCCCTGTTCTGCACCTCTCTCCAGGAAAGAAACATGGCTCTGCTGTCATTAGAAAGTGACGCAGACATGCTCCGCGAAGCCACAGATCCCATCTGGATCTCCTTAGGAATTGAAAGACATGGGAACTCCAAGGGGAGGGAAGCTGAAAAAAATCGTTCCTCACATGGCCAACACAGCAAATAGACAGTTTATTATTAGTTGATAAACCCCTCTCAATACTAAACACACGCAGTTAAAGGGAAAGTGAGTGAGCTACACTTAAAACAGAAGCACTCTTGCATGTCAAACTCGGCATTTCCTCAAGTTCTTCCACCACTGTTTTGTAAAGCAGTCAAGTGCAGTCAGCCTGACTGTAGTCCTACTACAAGCTGAATAGTGACATCTTCAGTCAGGTGTTATCAAAAATAGGCTTGGAGGACAGAGTGAGGAACATGCACTGACAAGACTACCAAGCTCTCATTCTGTAAATTCTCTGGCTGCTTCTGCACTGAGGGCTGCCTTTAGCCAGGAAACCCAGAAAGCTCTTTGAATGTTTCTTCTGATGCAAATCCAGACAGAACAAGGGAACAAGAATTGAATGAATTACCTTTTGCACTCTTAATGGTCCTTTGCAGAACATGTTGCATGGCTGACACAGTCTTTTCACATGCCACCTGCATTAACATAATATATTCAGGTTTTAGTAAAATTTCAGCTGCCTAGTTTAATATTATTACTTCAAAACCACTGCTATTAAGAGGCAAACATGACTGACAAGACGCAAACAGTATGACAACCATGTAATGTAGAGTTTGGGAAAAGAAAATTTAGACTCCCTTAATTCTCCCGAAACAGGTATTTGAAACCATACACCCATATCGAGGGCTCTATGTGCTTAAGGGAAAAAAAACAGAAAAATAGATCTGATAAATGATTTTCAGTGCTTATTATAAAGTGAGGGTAAAAAATATTACAAACATGCATGCAGTCTCTCTCAGAACATCTTATCTGGTAAAATTACAAAATCCATGTAACTGAAATGGGACCGTCCAAAGTTGTACAAGCTGAAATGTTTTCGCAAAAGGGAAGTTCTGCTTTTTTTCCTCTGAAGGAAAAAAAGCCAAGACAGAAGAGAGTCTTTAAATAATGTCATAGATTAAAAGTAATAAAGAAAAGAAACATAGTCTAAACTTGCAAAGAGACAAATAACTTCTCCCATACCTTCAAATTGTTTGGATGCTTATGTGTCCATGCCAAAAGCATAGCAGCGAACAAGTCTCCTGTTCCAACAAAGACAGCATCCACTTTAGGAGACTCCAGTCGAATTCTTTGTGTCATCTTGGTACCATCTGCTTTAGCTACAACACAGATAGACAGTTAAGTAACAGACCCAGCAATTAATACAGTAGCATTTACTATAATTTAAAAGTGACCACCAGATTTGAATTCCTTTGTTGTTTGGAACGTGAAGATGCTAAGGAGTATTGTAAACTTCGTACCAGCTCTTTTAAAAGATGCAACCTTTCAAAACTTTGCCAAATTGGGATAGCATTTACAACTTATATACTGTATGTACTTCCCTTAAGAGGAAGCAGGTAGCTAGCACCTTCATTTTCATGAAAGATTGAGAGCCACCTATTTTCATTTAGACAGCAGCAGCAGCTTGCTCAGGAAACCGCATATTTATGGAGACTGCTGAATCCTAGATGGGACATCCCAAACCATAATCTAGAGTATCTCTGGGTTGTACGGAGGCACAAAGGCAGATGTAGGCATCCGCAGAGAATATCTGATCCATGTGCCATATTGTAATCACCATCAGAATGACCAGACTTATTCCAGACCTGGCATGTACTGAGTGCTAAGACCCACCGACTGATTCTTAGTGGAATCTGTTTTAAATATCAAGAGTTTTTCAGTCTCTCAGCAGTCCAGAATGTGATGCCCACATTTAGATCCCTTAGACAAACAAGAAAACGAGATCATATACCATCCCACATAACTATGCCCTTCTCAGGTAAAAACATTCTGTGACAGTCCAAACACACAGTGAATCTTGGTGATGGTATAGAAGGGGATATAAAGAAGCAGCAGAAGGACATTTTACAACCTATCAGGGGAGGAACAATCTACTAACAGGACAGTGTAACTTTTTTCAAAGAAGCATTCAAACATTCAAAGTTCCTGTTTTACACCACTACTGCTTGTCAGGACCACCACTAGGGGCTTTAACAACCCTGATCAACTTCACCTAGGACATCCTCCACCCCACACCCTCCTTGCCCAGGAGCTGCACAGAAGCTCAGGCCCAAGCGCAAGCATCCTTGCCTGAGCTATATTGTAGGTGTACCTGTGTACAGCCCTGCTGTCCTGACTTACTGATTGGATTTTCCAGATTAATCTCGGACCTGGCTTGCCTTACCTTTCTCTGATGATCACTGGACCTGTCCGCCATCACCACCCCTGTTCTGCCCACCTTACTCAGATACTGTGGGCCTGTGCCGTGTTGGTGAGGGCAGTGCTCTGCCTGTGCTATGATCATGCTCAGCTCCCAGCTTGTCTTCCCTCATGGAGCAGCCCCATTCTTACCACTCTCTGCTATTACTGTAGCAGAAGTAGTTCACTTAGGGATCTAAGCTCCTTCCATGCGCTACAGATGGGTCTGATGAAACTACTTCTTAAAAAAAAGTATCTGAAAGTACAGAACAGGGTAAAAGAAAGCACAGTTTAACGAAGGAGTTCATGACTGACTTACTTTTTCTGTGGCTTCCCAGAGCAATTAGGTAGTCGTTTCCCAGAGGCGCCTGTAGATCTGAGCTTGTGATCACCACAGTCTCTGGTCCCATGGCATGGAGCATATCCATTACCTTTCCATGTGCAAAAAGGCAGGAATCAGTGACTGCAATGTGTGTTGATTAAACCTTGCATCATTCACAGTACTGAGGATTTTTGACAAGCACCTTATTTTGTCATCTTTTGTAAAGAGAGAAAACAGCTTCCACTCAAAGAATTCACTTGAATTAGGGGAATTAATTTGAAATAGGGGAATCAAAACATCCGTATTTAAACGTACACACTTGTTAAAATATACAAGCATCTCTGTATTATTTTTGGATGCTCCTCTGAAAAGAATACTCTTTCAGCTGTGATCAGAATTTTTGTCTGTGTCATGTTTTCAGAACATATTATCAAAAGAATAAGAGAACAAATATACAGACACATGCACCTGAGCTGGCATCTTGAAACACTTGCTAGAAAGCCAAGAACTCCAGGTCATGAAGTCTTATTTAGCTACTACTTTAAGAGTTAGCAAAAACGAAGAGTTAAAGAGCTAAATCAGAGGCACAAGCGTGTCTGTCTCAATCTTCTTTTCTCATTCTGTTTCAAACCCCAAATTACACCTGTAAATTATGTACCTTTGCAGGTGTATTTCCACTCTCTGTGTTCCTCACTTAAACTCATTAATACTCTACTGCTGACATCACAATTGGTTGCTACAGAAGTGATTTTGATTTCACAGAAGAAAGAATGACTTCAATAATGAGTTTAGCATAAAACACAGACAAAATATTAATTTTCCCAGAAGAGTTTAACTAAAAATCCTCTCAGGCTAGCTATGACTCATGAGCAACTGAATGATAAGGATTTATTTTTGCTATTTTTTAATTCTCTATTGCTTTTCTTTCTTGTCTAAGCCTCCAGGTTTCTTCAACTGTCAGACCTCTTTGCACAGACATCGGCTAGGTTTTAAAGCAGCAGTAAATCCACCAGCATATGCTGACATAATCAACCTGTGAAGTAACATTGAACTCAATTTCATTTCTCAGTCACAATTCACCAAGAACCTAATCACCAGTATTTCTAGTTGTAGGACTTAGCCTCTTCTACATTAATATTACATCATATTTAATTTTATGTTAGAAGACTATACTGTCGTCACTAGTCTTGCTAAAGAAATGAATGAAAGCATGTCACCATGGAAATCGATCCCAGAATTCCCACCACCTCCAAAGGGGACAAACTCCAGCATGGATTATTAGTCAGAAGTATAGACCTATATATGACATGCAGCTGCAGAGACAGACAGATTAAAATATAATATCCTGCAAGCAACTATTTTAAAAATGTTTCCATTCCTAAGTTTAATTCCATCTTTTTAAAAGAGATTTTTAAAAACCCATCACAAATAAGAGCTATCATACGACTCAGACAGACTGTCAGAAAACTAACTTGTAAAATTGTTTAGCACATGCAACTCGCGTTTGCAGCCGAAATATGCAAACCTAAAACTAACGGCTGCTCAGCTAACAGTGTTGTTCTCAAGACCGCGGTTCCACTGGCAAGGATGAGAATAGAAGAATTGAGTTATAGTTAGCAGCTAGCGGCATGAAGCACAGTTCATCACTCTCACCCAGCACACTGGGGTAATGTAAAACTGGGGGGAGGAGCGGAATTAAAAGACCTGAGATCTTTGGAGCTGCTTCCTGCTGTGAAGAGATGGTAATCTACCCATTTGCATGACGTTGCTGGAGGAAAAAAAAACCCAAACATTTGGGCTGACAGACCCCAGCTACTCTCCAGGGTGCCACTGCAGCTGCTGTTTGTTTAAAGATTTTGTGTTCCTTTGAAGTTCAAAACCAAACTGGAAGAAATAACATTAGTCCATTATGAAAGCACTTGATTAGTCAACAAAATAAAGAGCTCAGCCATTCTCAAGACACCATTAAAACCATATTCCTATTTTGTCCTTCATCACCAAGCCCTGCAGCTTTTTATTTTCTTCAGTTTGTGGAAAAGGGTAAATCCTTACACCTCAATGCAGTATATTGGCAGACCATTTATAATCTCTGTGTGGTGATGACAGCAGCTATCAATGCCGTGGATTTGTCTGTCTTTCACCAGGAAGTACCTGAAGGCCATCACTCCCAGTCTGGTTTCTCATCTATGCAATCTATCCTTCTGCAACCCAGGTCTCATCCCCTTTGAATCAATTTAAGGAAGAACAACAGAGCACCAGCAAACACTCTCAGGAAGAGATTCAGAGTGTATTCAATCCATCCTTGTAAGAATCTGCTAGTAAGCTCTCTTCCTTGCAAACAATCTGTATGGGAGAATGAGAAACGGCTGTCCTAACACTCAGTATTGCTGTTGCACGACTCACATGCGGACAGTAGAGGGAGCGACTCATGCAGGTTTCTAACGCCCAGGGTCACCCGGGGTTTTCACCCCAACCAGCGCATTTCCACAGCGCTGACAGGGTGCGGTTACTTGCCATGTGTGCTGCTGCTACCCTTCTTACACTGCAGGAAAATAAGCTCACAGAGATCTACTCATTACCACTGTAATGCCTTTATCTGTAGTTCTTTCGGGAAGTTTCTTCAGAAGTCTGACACTAGAACAAAAACTGTTTTGCGCCTGGAATGCACAATCTTTAATGATAAATGGAGAGAAAGGATAGAGGCCAAAGTGACTTCAAGGTTAAAGACAAATGGCAAACGGCAGCATTGCAGGCAGGAATAGAGAAAAAGATCTTACACATCCTACCCCTTGGCTACTTACCTCTAAAGCTTCTTTTTCTGTGTGAATCTTCCTGCCTGTGAGTAACCTGAGAATGAAACAGAAATCTTAAAAGAGCACAAGTTCCCCAGGCAATGACTGCTTTGTTTACTGCACCATACAGGCCCAAACGATTTGTAGCTACATGGTCTGCTGTACCAGACCACTGTCTTTAAAAGTGATATATGCACAGATACACAGTGCTTCTGTGTCCTAACCTGCCTCCTGTAGAGATCCCTGTATCATAAAATTCCCTCACAAGTGTCTTCTCTCTATCTGCCATGTAGCTGCTCCCTCCCCTTAGGGGGACAGCCTGTGATATATGACAACAGATAATCTCCTGACCAAAGAGAGCTATGTAGACAGGACGGGCAAGAGGCATTTAAATTCTTAACTCCTATGAGATGTTGCCATGGTGGTATTTCTGTATCTACTTTTGGGGTTCTGAGTCAAACTATTTCAGTTTTGATATTCTGACATATAATAAAAATTTTCCTAGGAATAGGTAAGGATGGGGAAGGGAAGAGAGGTATTTTTTCAACCTGCCCTAGATACAGGCTTCTGCAGACAATGAAAATGAGAGACCAGAGAAAACAAGAGAAATCTTTTCCTCACATAACTCCCAGATTTTTTATTTGTTTCAATATGGAAGAGTTGGAGGTTTGCTGAAAAGTACCAGATACTGAAACAGCTAAAAACCCAACACATACATATATACAGCACTGTATTGAGACAGATAAAAGAATGGGTATCACTCTCCCCTTCTTTTATCCCCAAGTTGATTTGGCTATAAAAGGAAGTAAGTACTTACTCAGCTTCAAACTGGTTAGGAGTAATTATATCAGCAACAGGTACAACTTTGTCCCTGTAGACGGGGAGAAGATCCTTGGGCACATACTAGGGGAGAAGAAACAGTATCAAATGTCGTCAGCAGCATCCGAGATGTGGGACTGCAACTCTCCTTCCCTCAAATACCATTCTGCTGTCACTGAGTAACCTAACAGCTCCCCGTGTACTGTTATGCAGCAGTAACTAAAGTGGCAGTGCAACCTTCAGCTGGTGACAGTACAACCAACAGCCCTTCTTTCACTGGAGGCGATGGGAAGCACTGCAAAGCAGACAGGCCTGAACTGGCAGTGTTAAAAGGAAGTGGTGCCTGGATGAAGAACTTTCGGGTTCTCTCTCACCAAGGTGTACACAGCAGCGTGAGGAAATACAGTGTCCCAACATGGGGAACCCTTTCTCACATCCTTAACTCCAAAAGAAACTACTTTGTTGTTGTACCAACGGTACAGAGGGCGTTTGCTGCAGCACCGTGTGCCCACATTGATTGTGTTGCACTGTGGAGCTTAGGAACAAGTTACATCCACGTTATGCATTATTTTGCCTCCTTCTTTCAGTGCAGTATTTCTAGGGTGTGCTGTACATCAATATGTGTGAACAGGAATCAGATTTGTAATTTGTTCAGTACAACTTAATCTATGAAGCAGTTCTGATAAGTACATTAGAAGTATTTTGCTTGTGTTGCATCCAAGTCTAACAAAACACAAGCATACTTCACTGCCTGCAGAATCAGCAGTGCCCTTTCTGCCTGTCTGTTCCATCTCTATCCCATCTTCATTAGCTAAATATGGCCCATCAGCAAAGGGAGATTGGTTATCTAAGCAGGTGACATACACAAAGACGTAACAGAAGCCCACCAGCCTGTATGCTCTTCAGACTCAAAGCTGAAAAGCATCAGCTGTTTTTGCACACACTGGAGCTCAGCTAGGAGTTCAGGTTAGACAGGTACATGGGTCACCTCACCTTCCTGAGTCCTGCTGTAACTCAATTTAACAAAACCTTTAGTAAAAGTTTATTGTTTACTAGTAGCTGATATTCTTTGGCAGAACCCCACTTGCTAAATCAGGATTAAAATGCCCTTTTGTCCCCGTTTTATTTTCTCTGTTAGTCTCATAAGTTACGCAGGGCAGGGTATGTATACATGTGCTCGTGTGTTACTGTCTCCCATTCCAATTGTATCAGCGACAGGTACAACCCCACCACAGTGCTGACCACTAGGTGCTACCAGAACACCTGTCATACTGATACTGAGCTCACTCATGCAGCCATGCAAATTTATTACTAAGTGCTACTTCATGTGATGTTTTATGAGCAGGTAAACTGTAAAAAGATACAAGGACAAAGAGGAATTCATAGTGCATGACTAGTTAAGGTAGAAGAAAACATAAAATATCGTTAGTGCTGATGTCTTCCCACATTGTATTTTTACTGAAATTATTTGCTAGTTTTGATCAAAAAGGAATGTTTCTTTGTCAGTATGCCGTCTGGTATTGGCATACAGATCCTTTCTGTCACTGATCACAGCCCAATGCCTAACAGCTGTTGGATCTCCCACAAAGTAAGTCATCTTAATTTAGGTTCAAGTGGTATGTTAATTCACACGATCACTGACAATGCCAGCCAGGCTACCAGCCAAAACAGAGCTCTTGACAGAAGATGAGGGAACTCCAGCGTGACAACGAGGGGGAGCAGAGGGATATTTTCCTGCAGACAGGGTCTGTATTCCACCTGTTGTCTCAGCAGAGTTAGAAATAATCTCAGGGCTATGCAGCCATCATTCTTCGCAGATACTAAACTCATTAAAATACAGGAAATTAAAGTACAAACTTAATTCATGCTGGGATCCAAAGCCACACTTAGGTAAAGTAGCTTACTTTTGGTGTTTAAAAATTAATAAATCTTTATACATCTTTATATAGTAAATATTCACTATACAGAGAATCCAAACAGGTAAGTACTAACCATAGAGCCTTCTCCATTCCATTTGTCACCCATCACTGGATCACATACTGTAACAGAATAAATCTAGCTTTAGAAATGGGATACAGTTACAGAGGCCCTGGTGGGAGGGAAAAGTTTTAGGTAACAGTAGTGGCTATGTAACAGCACTGAGCACCTGATAGCTTATATACTGTCACAGCTCTTGCAGCACACTCAACCTGAGTTGCTGGTGGCTGCCAATTCTGAAAGAGTAGGCCATGTGTCTCAAACGATTGTCAGAGGGTTGTAGTCACCCTCTCCCACCTGCTTCCATGTTGTTATATCTGAAAGGAATGAGGATGAGAGGGTCTGACTGCTGGGAGTAAAGGGGCTTTTGTTACATAAAAGGCAGAGAGCCCTCCCCTTCACTCCCCAATGCAAAACTCTGGAATAGTAGTATGGTGGGGAAGAAACGTGGGAGAAGCTAATAGCTGTGAAAAGAGTCCTATTTCTACTTTAGCGTAAAAAGATACATGCCAAGCGTACACACCAAAATGCTGTGTGTACACATAAAAATATTATGTGTATTATAATGAAACAAGAAGAAAACTCATGCCAAAGTACACTAACTCATACTTGGTGTAATAATATTAACATACATTTGGCATAGGTTCTGAATCATCAGCAGTATTAACAACATATTCCATGTGCCCTCAGTTTCCAAGTGAGGATGGAAACAGCCTAGCCTTGTACTTTACAAAGGAACATTGTTCATTGTATTAAAAGAGCTTTTAGCAAGATAAAAAAGAAATACAAACCCAAAGGTATCAAATCAATGTCCAATCAGTATTTAAGGAAGTTTCTATAAGTAAAAAGAGGGTAATTTGTTTTACATTTTAAAAGTATTTTCCTTACATTATAATCTATTTATTAAATACAAAGGATCTTAGAAGCCCAGCTGTGTTCTCACCATCTGACCACTTCCTTCCTGTTCTATACAGCTAGAAGTTTCTTTCTGCTCATGCTCCAACAGAGTTTTTAGCTTTCACTTACTAGTACAAGGAGAACCTGATAATGCAACAGTGTTAATAAAAGCTAAAAAGCAACAAAACCCAAGCTCATGAAGATATTTCTGATATATTTTTCTAAATGAGAACTGTGCTTTGTTAATTTTAAGTCAGATATCACTCTCCGCAGTATTACACCACGCAAATCGTGCAAACCATTCTAGATGTTTCCTGACCACACAGCTTACTGTTCCTGAAGATGACAGGCTCAAACCACAGCTTTTTATCCCACTAAATCCCCACTGACTTTGCCCTCTCACTCTAAACATTTTGCTCAATTCAAGCCTACGCTGGTTATGTTCAAAAATCCTGAAACACTCAGAGAGTCAAGAAGGAAAGAGGAGAATCTCTTCTCACAGGTTTAAGCCTGACATGAAATGTTAATGACAGCAGTTGCTAGAGTCTGTTGCTCTTTGAGTGCTCCGAAGTAATCTTAGCAGAGGGCACCAGAGTTAAAAAAGTCTTGGAGTTTAAGCTAAATTATGAAGCTTACAAGGCACAGTAAGACACTTCTGGGATGTAACATGGCAGGGCAACACGGGAGAGTCTGTCCTGCTTTTGACTGACTTAGAAATCAAGGAGAGGCTTCAGCTATCAGCACTTAGAGCCTATGCCTCTGAACTACAAACAGCAGCAGCCGGCTGGGATTTTACAAGCCTTTCTTTGACACAGACAATCAGTCCTCAAGGCACATTCTCCTTTGGACAGCATAATGCAAGAAACATACTGAAAGGCATAAAATCAGAAAGATAAAAACCCAACTCCCTCAACGCTTAAGCAATGCTGAAACGAAATTTCACTGGAGCCCCAGCTGGTCCCAGCCAGATCAGAGCACAAGATGGCTGTGAAACGCTGACTAACATCAAAACAGCGTTTTCATCCTGAAACGTGAAAATGATGGGCATATACAGTGATGAAGCAGAAAGGATTATAATACACATCCTTACCATATACTAGGTTAGAATTCTGTTGCTTCAATTCCTGGACAATATCCACCACCATTGCAAGAAATGATGTGTCTCTTGTATACCCTTTGGGAAAAAAAGATACTTTTGAAGTCTATTTTCATGAATGCTTTTTTTTTTTTTAAATTTTGAATAAGAATGCTGCATACTTCTCATTCTTTGGAACATGCATTTTTAGAACAAAGGCATTTTAGTATTTCATTCAGGTATAATAGGTGGAAGACAAATTCAGACAGCGCTTGCACAACTACAAATACAACCTTAAAAATCCATTTACTAAGTATGTTATATATGAAGGGCTCATACAACTTCAAAATGCCTGAACACATATACAAAAAGGTCAGGCTGAAAGGGAAAAAACATTCCTTTTCTTCATAACAGCAGTCCAAATCAGTATTATTTATCATGCAGTACGTAAGAAATATTTTAAATTCCATATACTTTCCTCGTACTCTGGTTTGAAGGAAGTTTTTTATTATTATTAATGTTGTTGCTGATATAGCCCAACGCATTAATGCAATAGAGAATTGATCTTGAATATTTTAGAGCAATGTACCAATATACCAATATACCAATAAAATTCCTATTTTTAGGCTTAGCAGTGGAATAAGCTGGAAAAAAGTTTTATTATATCTCAAGACCCTAATCATAATAATAGCACTACTATATTCTTACTTAATCATTAATGTCTTTATTTTATAGATGTTTATTTATATATTTATGTATTAACTTTATTTACGACATTTATTAATTAATAATTTGATTTTCATTGATTTTAGTTCATTTAATAGCATTATTTTTAGCAAGATAGCTTTTTCAAACCTTCAGCTTGGAAATGTCCACTATACTAAAATATTTAAAAATATATTTTGGAGAAAATTGATCAATTCTTAGAAGTTGCAGAGAAATGGAAAAAGCTTCCAAGAGTTTGGGCCAAAATGTTTTGTCTTATGTCTATGAAATGCTGACGATCAGGCAAAAAAGCCAAGCAAAGATTTTTGTTTAAAATGACCTGTGATGGTAGATTGGCTGAAAAAAAAAAAAAACACCCAGAGTATGATTAGTATTATTGACAGAGGTGTTTCAAAAAAATTACACTGAATTGGAGTTTCTCTCTTACCTTGAGTGTTTTACTGTAAATGAAACAAATATATGAAGATCTACAAGTAACTAACAGTCACAAAAGGTTAATGAAGTGTTATTTTGTATAATCAGCCTAAAGATAATAATTTCCATCTCAGCCAAGATATCTACAGTCATCAGACACACACTTACAGTCAAATCCCCTCTGCTGACAAATTAATTTGTTTTCAGTGTTTGAATAATCATATCCAGGTTGTTGGAGGCACAAAGTACAGTTGTGCACTACAGTGAATGGCTGTTCCTGTTTGAAGAGAAAAATCTGTCTTTTGGCCCTGAATGAAAAAAACCCTGAATTTTAAGTTCAGCCACAGCACAACTGAACACTAAAACACAGTGTTACTAGATCTTAAGAAATTAGTGCCATTTCTACCCATGCCTTCTTTTTGTCCATACTGAAAATGGCTACACTGAATGAGATTTTTAAACAAACATCAATAACACACCAACCCATCTACCCACAAATCCTATTTTAAAAGGCATATTAATAAATATTCCTTTTTTTCTCCAAAATTTCTTTTTGATGAAGATTTCTATTTTTGCTTCTACCATTTTTAATCTCTTACATCCATTTTGCCAGTACAAGACAGTGATAGGAAAGGATTTGGGGTCTCTTCCAAGAGTTGAAAGTAAAATAAAAAAGGAACATTTCAGCTGAAAGAATACTCAAACATTATTTACAAATTTTGCATACTCACATCGCCTGAAAACTCCTACAATACAGTGTGCTTTTCCTGGAAAGGTCTTCTCTGTGAGTTCTTTCAAGGAAAGAAAGGGTGTTTGTCTAATTCTCAATCACAAAGAACCCATTTATGCGGAAATTAATTTCTTAACCTTACTTTAGTCTGTTTTCTATTTCATCTCCTTTACTTTGGAGATATTCCCTGAAAAAGAACTGACAATAACTCTTAAGACATGCCACACCCTTCAAGCCAGAATGACTGCTTTGGGTTTGTAATCCATACACTTAAAGTCTCCAGTTTTCCCTGTGTATAAAGCACCTTCCTCGATGTGGAAGTCATGAAATCAGTCAAATCTGGCAATATATTTCTGTTTACTTTTAAAAAGTGACTGTTCACTGCTATAAAAATTAATACTGTAATCTAAACCAGATGCATAGCTCTTACCGAGGTGAAACCCAATCAGTAATCTACATTTGAGAAGCAGGAAGTGGATGAGAAGCAGTTTTTAATAAAAACTGCACATAGAATCTCTCCTTTCTATAAAGTATTCTACAATAAGTTCTCTCTGCCTATATTTACCAACACTTTGCACCTAGTGGAAAGCAAAGGAAAACACTGCACAGTCATTATGTCCTGCAGAACTGTAACCACTCAGAGGACCTACATAGTAACGAGAGCAAAAAATCAAGAGATAATGAGTCAAACCCCAAATCCAACCCTGCTTATACTTTGCTCTGTATCCAAAGCACTACTCCTTAAAGATTAAGTAGAAAAAACAAGGACAACTGTATAAAATCTATAGTAGTGCAGAGTGCCAGTACTGCAAATTTAGGAGAAAGGGTTAAACTCATGTCTTCATAATAAATTTTAAAATAATACTCTGACATTCCTCATCCTTTTTTCAGTAGAGGCACTCCCAAAACATTAATTAAACCTGTACATGACTGGCCTGTACAAGTCCGTAAACTATACAAGGGGATGAATTTACCCATCCAGTTACAACCTTCAGGCTGGAGAACTGGCTGTTTCAAACTAAAAAGCATGAGCAATTGAGACTATAATATACAAATGAAAGTGCAGGAGGAATCAAAGGAAGAAAAATTAATTGCTTGGTTTGGAATAAGGAGGGATATGGTTTATATTTCTTTACTTTTGTTTACATCTCATGGGAACACCAAGGAACAAGCTCTTCTTACCTGTGAGTACATAATCATACTGGTTGACCTTGTTCAGCTTAAGTCCTTCATACAGTTCATGAAGTTCATCTGAATTTAACACCTGACCCTTCCAGTGGGCATAACCTGCAAAGTAAATACCAGATAATTTTTCAAGAGCTAGCTTTTCTATTTAGGATCACACAGATTACACACTTGGAGGGACCATATCAGATATTAGCACCAGAAAGCATTTCCACCTCCTCTTCTGTAAAACGCTGTTATTGAATGAAAGCTGCTGTCAGCAGAACAGTTAACGTGCTCAACTACTTCTTAGCACTTCTGTTTCCCAAAGGAACTAGAGTGACTACACTGGAGTTTGAGACTGTTCATTTATCAGCAAATCAAGCAGAGCACACACAATATCCTGAAAAGTTTTCCCATGGAGCCTATACAACTATCCCTTTCCTGTGTGGAGGGGGACAAATGTATGTTTTAGACTTCACTGGAGCAGGGTGTCAGTATAATCTATTTTTGTTATTTTATACTATAAAAAAAAGAAAAAGAAAAAGATTGACAGCTAGATGACAAGCTTAAACAGGCTTGTGGATCTGTCAGGACTCAGTCATGCAGCACTGCTGCACCCATCAGATACGGCATTCACTGGGACCTGCATGCAATGAATAGAGTCACCACAGCGGAACATTGTCATGGATACTCTTTAAACATACAATGTCATCTGACAGATTTTCTTCCAAAAATATCACAGTTTTAATGCTGAGGATCCTGGAGGAGGTAAATGAGTATGAGAAAGACACTATAAACCAACAAATAATACCCATACGCTTTTATTCTTGAATACCCTCTAAGAATTACAAGCCAATATTCTTGGCTGAGAAGCGGATGGAAGATGAAGTTACTTGGGAGAAGCTGAACTGATTTCAGCAAACAAGGGACCAAGCTCCACGGCAGCCAATTTCAAGGGGTGGGGGGGTGGGGGGGAATATCTTCCTTGACAGACTCTATAGACGTTTGTTGAAAAATGTAAATGCACCTTGCACCTTGTCAAAGCCTGCCCATCTAGATGCCATCACTGCAACCTCCATAAATTGAGAGTTTGTTAAAAAGCTTATCTTTTTATTAACTGGAATTGGGAAAAGTGAAATGTTAAACGAGGTATCTTCTTCCACACCACCCCCGTGTGAAGACAATGGTATTTTGTTTGTTTTAATTTCTGCTCTTGGAGTTAGAAAATTCTGTGATAAAAACTGTTGGCTTTGATTATCACTCTAAACTGTGTTATTAGAGTAACTGCCAAAAGGTGCCTAGAGCCTAGGATAAGCACATTTTTCAGTTTTCCTTCCTATGAATGCAAATACACCCACAGTAGGGTGAGCAGATGGATCATTTTGTTCTCCTCAGCTCACAAAGACATAGCCTCTAAAACACGACTCGCTGCCAGCTGGCTGGGGGACTGACTCACATCAGCCGCTACAATTCTCTCCCTAGCAAATGCTTTTTAAAAAGTCTCTGTGAAGAAATGGACAAAGTGAGGCATTCCCGTATGTTAGGGCTGTAGTTCCACTGCAGAACATGGTGATATTCAGAACGGCAATGCCTAACACCTAGGCACACATCTAGCCCCAAGTATATGAGGAACCCTTGACTACAACTAACTCAAATATTCGGCTTATTTAACACATATGCAGATGTTTGTTCTGTCACATCTGCAGCTTCAGAGAGAAATAATCTGCCCTCTCCTCTTGCCCGAATCTCTACTTCTATTAGCACTGCAAAGGCAGTCCGTACAGGGACAAAAGAGAGTCCTTTTTATTCCATTGTGCCCATCAATGAAAATAAGTGCAGTTTTCACCCAGAATCAAGATCAGCTGGCAAAAGAGCAGTCATTCATCTTACACACGGCCATAAAAATAACTATGGTAGATTGTCCAGACAATCTAGATACTTTTGGGAGCCATTCCTACAGAGGGACCCTGCACATTCACTATTTAACTAAAAGTTCACCTTCCTATGTCAGTCTGTCTTAAACAGTCAATGCACAGGGTCTGCGTCACACTGATTCTCCACTGAGGGAGGGAAATAAATACGGAAACAAAATGTTAGGTAGCAGCCCAGCTGCGCTCAGGAATTGGTAAGTTACCCACATGGGGCAGGGACATTGTCTGAACTCTCTAGCAATGACTTCCAAGGGGATCTAGAGGATCCTTTTTACCACCTGGTAACATGCGTAATACAATCTAAAGTCTGATCACATGATAGCTGGAGGGAAAAAAGCCCTAGGGAAGCCCCAGCTACTCAGATAGAAGAAAAAGGGCAATGCCTTCACCAGATCTGCAGAGAACTGTGATTTCACTAAGAGTTGAATTATGTTCGAGTAAGAAGAAACAAACAAAATCAAAACTGGCAGCAAGATGGAAACCACCCTAAGCCTCTTCCCCCAGGTAACTTCACATAACATGATGAACCAGGGGCAAATCCCACGACCCTGCATTTATTCTACTCTCCTGGTGATATATACAACCAAAAAGCAGCTTCTGTACAGGGACTGAAAAAAAAAGCCAGTTACTCATGTTCACAAAGGGTTTCACTAACTGAAGGATGGATACCTTGGGGTCCCAGGAAGAGGGAGAGGGACTATCTTGAAAGGGAAGAGGTAAAAAATCCAGATAGATACTGTATGGTCAAAAAAACCACTGCATAGCCCTGAACCCAAAGCTAGTTAGCAGGGAATGCCAACAGCAAGCTTAAATATGTGAGGTCCAATTGGCTTTAGGGAAAAGCATGAGTGGTTGGAGTTGAGGATGATAATGAGGAATCGCTGTCTTCCTCGGCTAGACATAAGAACTCAGCTGGCATATTTGAAGGCCCAGAGCTGTCTTGCAAGACCTAAAAGAAAGTCAGCTTCCTAGAAATGTTACCCCTATGCCTACACCACTAAATATGAGTATCTGAAAAACAGAAGAGAAAACTTAAAATCTTCTGTTTAACTGTCCACTTACTATAACTACTATGCTGCAGTAGTATTTCCACTGTGGCACTCAACAACACAGAAGTTCAAAGTCCCACAGTACCTGGCTATTCGCACATATCATACAAGAACCACAGCCAAGAAAACTACAGAATGAGTTTCAAGTTTGTACTTGGCAAAACAACTGCATCCCATTTGGAGACTTACAGAGCTGGTTAGGCACAGCAGCTGGATCAAATTATTACTCTTTTATCTTGGATATTAAGGTGAGATCTTGGCTTGTATCTTCCACAGAGGAAGAAAGCCAGGTCTTCCTTGTTTTGGTTACAAAACCACCAAATAATTCCCCTCAGTGCTGGACTGAGAGAGCAGAGAGAACACTGCAAATCATGACACAGCTCTCCAAAACTGCACTTGGCTCAGACTGACTGCATTAGTCTCCCAGATTAGTAATAATTTTAAACGCATAGATGAACATAAACATTTAAACATCTTTATAACCCTTCTGCTTATCTGTGTTATGGCCTTTTATTGCAATTAAATGTTATATATTTGCTTTTAAGCAGATAAGGGAATGAAAAACAGGTAAGATACGATGCCTCTTGTCACTTATCCCTCTAAAATGATAAACGTATTCATTAGTCTCCAAGGAAATGTCTTGGTTCATCTGTATAAAAAAGAAAAAAAAACAAAACCACAACCAAGAGAGGCAGCTAATACTGCAGCCAAGATAAATTTACATACTTTTCTTTCCTGCCTTCCTCCACTGATACATTTTTTTCTCCTTTGGAATGTATTTATAAGCCTCTTAATTACTTTCAAAAACAAGGAAAAAAGAAAAGAATAAAAATCCCAGGCATACTAGAAGGGGAAAAAACCAAAAAAAAAACCCAAACCAAAAAACAAGCTACCATTTAAGTATAGCAAGGCATGTAAGATTTCTTTGTTTTCCAGCCCAGAACATTCTGTTCTGAGGTTTGAGTTCCTCCTGTGGTGCTCTATGCAAAATTATTCCAAATGGCTTCAGTATTTTATAAGGGAAAAAGGAAGGAAGATCTAGTGTTTAAGGCACATGATGGGCAGGCAATCTGGTCCCAGCTGTGCCACAAAATTCACATGCAAACTCTGGCAGACAACCTGGTCTAAACACATGACTTAATCTTCAGCTACCAGGAGGCCTTCAACAAAACCAGAAATACAGTACCAAATTCTCCATTGGATTTTTTACAGCCGGTCAGTGTGGGAATGCAATACTACCAGTGTTAGGCATGAGTGGAGATCTTTTCTTTTTGTCCCACACTGCACAGGTGTGAATGACTACATATGGGCGGTAGTCTGTGAAGAATCACATCAATGAGACATAATTATAATTTCTCATGTATTAGACCTACCAGCCAACCCAACCACCCACAACACACCCACTAAGTAGAAGTCCAAAAGTGCTTTGCTTAAAAATAAAAAGAAAAGGAACAGAAAAAAAACAGGCTATTTGTTCTGGAGCAGTTTCAAAGGCAGGATTTGGATGGCAAAGTAAGCACATTATATGCTTACCATTAACTTACGAATTAAAAACAAAAATGCAAATCACTGAAGAATTAAAAATGCACCCCCCAAAAAATCAACGATACAATAAAAAAAAAAATCTTTGCCCATCAGATGATGAGATGCTTCTGCAAACAATACAGTAAAATAGAATAAAAAGCACAGAATCTTTATAGGTTGCAGGACAGCTTCTTTTATTTGTATATGAAGCACAATGCCATTCAAGGATGAGTCACTCTAATCATAAAGTTCCTCACCAAGCAACATGACAAACTCTTCTCCCGGGAGGACTGATTTAAAGCACATTTTCCGAATTTCAGGATTATCAGAGACTAAGGAAAGCTGAATTTTCTAAGCAGGAGTCAGCAGAATTAGGCCCATGGAACCTTACTAATTTAAAGACAGGGCAAAAAAAAGCAATAATCATATAATTATAGAATCATTAAGGTTGGAAAAGA